GGCAAGTCAAGAATGTTAAAACTTTTCTGTTTTTATCAGAGAGAGACTTCTGGAAGACATACAAATTGTTGCAGTCCCAGTATCACCACCACTTTCCTTTCCCCATGCTAGTTTTGTTGTTTTCCGGTTCTTTTGCCCTGGCAGCCTCTTGTAAACACCAACCAGTGTATTACCTGTTTCTCCTTGGTTTGATCTTGTTTGAAATATGATCTACCACTTAAAGGACCAGTCCATTATGTGAGGAAAAGTTGACTTGTTAATGTGATTAGTGCTTAGAAAAGGATTAATCTAAGTAGATATATTTACAGATTAAATTTACACAGAAACCTATGAAAAATATCTTTCTGAATTTCTTCTATCCACCCTGCATGTAGTTTGTCTGTATGTAGTTGTTTGCGTGTTGCTTTTCTGTTAGCATGTGAGCTTCTTGAAGGTAGGGACAGTGCTTTTGTCTGTGTTTTTTTGTTTTTGTTTTTATTTAGTATCCCCACTCTCATGGGTCCGGCACTGTTAAAAGGGCTTAATAAATACTTCTTGACTAATTGTTACCTGTGTTTTAGGAGATAAAAGAAGAGGCAGAGGCCATTAATATTGACTTCTTTTGTCATGACTGTACATTATACTCTTGAGCCCTCGTTATTGGAAATAGCACTGCTCTTGCTATATGAGAGAGATAGAAAAGAATTATTCAGATTTGGTGTCTTTATGTAGAAGAAGTGTAAAAAAAAAACATTGATGTGGACTAACTTGTGGTAGAGAAATCACAGAGCAGATTTAAAGGCCTGTTTCTTCTTTTAAGAATCTCCGAGGAGAGAATGAAGGGTAAGAAATAATTAAGGAGAGAGGGTAGATTTTAATATGCAGAGAGAAGATGTAAATATGAACAACATATGTCAAAAAGGGAGAAAAAAACAACAGATAAAGAAGAAATAAGAATGAAAAGGAATAAGGGATAAAGAAGAAAAAAGTGCATAACCCTCAGTTCTGTATTAAAGGCCATTTTAATGAACCAGTGCATTTGTGGAGTAATATAAGAAGGATCACAGTGGAGCAAACTGAGTGTCTTCTTTTACTTTGAGCTGTTTGGAAATGTTGATTATCAGCATCAGAATGACACTAAAGTTACAAAGAAGGGAAGGTGTTTATTTGACTGTATTAACTGGACCAATGTTGAAGGGTGAAGCATCAAAAAAAAAAAAGGCACTGATTATAATGAGAAGTTTCTGGGTCCCAGCTAGCTAACAATTATTTTGCCTACCCAAATATGGCAAATTTCATTAAACCGGTGCCCAATAGCATTTATTAGAGATATTCACCTTTGAATAAGAGGTAGAGTATTACAGTAGAAAAGGGACTTAGAGTCAGAAAACCTGTCTCTGGTACTTAATATCTCTGTGACTTTGGGCAGATTATTTTGACTTCTCTGGGTTTCCTCATCTGTAAAATGAGAGGTTGGCCTAGTTGATTTTAAAGGTCCCTTTCAATTCCAGAGCCTAGAATTCTGTTAGTCTAGGAATGTGGCACAAGAATCAGGCTTGTACTTGGAGCAATTGAAACCTTAGTTCCAATTAGGTTGTATAATGCTGAGCATACCACTTAACTTTTCCCTGCCTCAGTTTTCTCATTTGTAAAATGCATATGATGACTGCCCCACCTGCCTCACAGTGCTGTTGTGGAAATGACCTGTGACCCTTGCCCTGATGTCATTCCCAGGAACAAGGAATGGTACAAGGGCATGGGCTTGGTGCCAGGCTTTAATCTTATCCTAGCTTTAGAGAGCCTCCCTCTTGAGAGTGGGAAAGGAAAGGAGTGTCTTCAGGCTCCCCAGTCCTTGAGAACAGCCCAGACACATTCACATACATACATACATACATACATACATACACACTATCCTCTCCAGGAGACTTACAGACCCCATCCTCTGGGAGGTATGTTTCTGTTCCTCATTCTACTTTGTTCCCTTTTCCATAGTTGGAGGAAGTCACCATGCTACCCAATAAGCTGTACTATTGCCACCACCCCCAACACCCCAGAGAGAGAATGAATGGAGGATGAGAGAAAGGATGTAGAAATGCCTTTTGAATTATAAGGTCTTAAGAAAACGAGGCAGCAAAACATTGTCAATAGAGCCAGCAGACCTAGGAGCCAGGAGGACATGGATTCTAGTCACCCTTCTGACATACTTACTCTGTGACCCTGGACAAGTTACTTAACCTCTCAGTGTCCTAGGGACCCAAGACTAAAAGTTGCAGAGAAGGTTCCCATTTGCATTGCTAGAGGCAGCTTCCTCACTGGGAGTTCCCTAGATCAATGAAATCACAGCCTGTATTCCATATAAATGCAAGACATTATTAAATGTGCTCTGGGAATTGATGTAATAATGGGGGATTTCCCTTTATGCTGATCCCTTAGTGCACTTCTTTTTTAAAAATAGGGTTGACAGTTTTTGGCATTCTTACAGAAGATTGGTGTGAAGATTACTTGGGTTTTTATTATTTTTGACCTCTTGAGATAGAGTGCTGTATAAAGTGTTTCCTCATGTACCCAGAAATGCTCCAGGTGATGGTTAGTACACTTTGTCCGAGTGTGACTGAAAAGGCACTTGTGTTCCTAACAGACTTTTTTTTTCTAAGAAGTAATTCGTTCTCCAGTTAGCGACTCTGTTGGAAGGGCCTGTTGTTTTGGGCAGCTCTGATCCTTCGTGTCCTATTTGGAGACACCGCTATTGGCTGTACTCCAGGCTGGTCTGTTTGTTGCTATGATTTCACAGTCCTTGCAGCTCCTTCTGCCTCAAAGTTGTATGAAGCATGTCATCAGAATCTTTCTTTTATCCCCCTCCCCACTTTGGCTTTGTAGGGGCCACCACCTTTAGCCATCGTTGGCAGTCCTGACATTGACATCCTCTGGACTTGAAGTGTGTCAGCACTCAGTAAATAAATAAGATTGAAAAGGAATTGTGATTTTATGAGCATGCTCAAGTAACAAGAGCACAAGATTGTTCTCCCTTCTTCTGCCCTCTCTCTTTCCCCTTCTCGTCTCCCTTCCCCTCTTCTGTCTCTCCTCTTCTTTCTCTCCTCTTCCTTCTCCCCTCCTCCTTCTCCCCTCCTCTCTCCCCTTCCTTCCCTTTCCTTCCTCCTTTGCACTAGACTTACTTTTTGCTTGTACCACTCTGCAGGCATGACCATGGGTGGGTGGTTGGGGGGGCATGGCAGGTTTGAAACCCCTGGATTAGGAAAATAGGTTTGCAGACAGCACTAATTAAAGTAGGGACAGCTGGTTAATGTCTTTGTTTTCAAATATTTTTGTTGGCTGATAGTTGGCTTTAAGTTGCCAAAAAGAAACACGAATAATAGATTGTTCTTAAACTGCTGTGCTCCTAATTATTATTTTCAAGTTTCACCAGGAACTTAAAAAAATTTAATCAGCAATGTTGAGAAAAATTTGCAGACGTGGAAGTTCTGAGATCAGGGATGTAGCTATTACTGTTCAGTCTGAGGGCTTAAGTCCATTGAGACTAAGATGGATATTGATGGACAGGTTTCTCCTCTTTGTAAGGAGTGAAAACCCTGTTGTAGAATGGAAAGAACAGTATTATTGAACCCCTCTTTTTCCTTGTTTCTTCCTGCTTGCTCCCTGAAAACCCCTAAGTGTAATGTTACATCCAAATACAGTATAGCTTTACAGCTCTTTGGCTGTTCCAAAGCATAATTTGCCTTTCCTTAGTTATATGACTTAAAAACAGCCTGGTATGATGGAAGAGGTACTAAGCCAGGAAATCTGGGTTGTTTGGAGTCGTTGTCAGGGGTGTGCTGGTAAAGGTTTCACAAATGGTTTGGGCCTGAGGGTGGGGAAGAGGGGGGGCTGGACAGACTTAAATTTAATCTGCATTGTTTACATATTTTCTGTTACTGTAAGTCTAGAAATCAACAAAACAGTAAGTCAAGCCCTGATCTATAGCCTTTGCTGATTGCCAAAGTGTAAATGCTCACACTGAAAATTTAACAATCTGCTCACTGGAGCAGTACACTCCTCTTTCATTGCCTTAGGCAAGTCACTTAAATTCTAAGTTTCCTGACTTACAAAATGATGGAATAAATGAGCTTAAAAGATATAAAGGAATTAAAAGTTATTTTTTTTCCAGGCCTAGAATTTGATGTTAATAAAATAGTTTTGGTACAATTCTATGTCAGGTGTTTCATTAAAAAACAAAACAAAAAACCTTGAGGGTTTCTGAAGAGGGAAGAGACAGCTAGGTAGTAGCATAGTGACTAAAAACTGGACTTGGGATTAGGAATACCTGAATTCAAATTGTAAAACGAGGTCATTGGACTAAATAATCTAAGGTTCCCTCTTGCCTCTAGGTCTCTGATACTATGCTTCCTTATTACATAGAGGAGGAAAATGATACCCAGAGAGGTGCAGGATTTGCTTAAGGTCAAGGAGGTAAGAGGTGGCAGGGTCAGAATTCAAATCCAGCTCTCCTGGTTCTCAGTCCAGTGTTATTTTTATTATAGCACACTTAAGATCAGACTTTTTCATCTTCTTTGTTGATTTGAACTCTGCTTGTTAAATCTCCTTTATAAATATTTTGAGAAATATTTTCAGAATAAATACTTTAATGTCTATTGTATTTTTTCTTTAATTTTGTAACCTCTGACTGTTTTTAAGAAGATTTATTAGCAACTATTAGTTGACATTTAAATGCTGGTTACTTAATGTACTAGGTATGTCACAAAGTTGCAGTAGGCTATAAACTAAAGAAAAGACAAGTAGCACATTTCTATTGGGTACAATGATGATATCATGCTTTAAAATAATAATGAAGTTTTCTATATATGCTCAGAGAGGTTTTTGACTTTATAATTCCAGACATCTCATATCTACATAAGATTTAGGACCTGCACATTTTTAGAACAAAAAAATGTTATTGGTTAATGTACTAGTATTATAAGGACATTTTAGTAAATTTTGTAAAAAAAAAAAAATATTGTTATTTGCAGCAAAGAATCAATTGAAATCTGAGGACACCATTATCATACGGGATTCTTCAATTAAAGTAAATGGAATTTGTCTGACAGAATTAAATTCCACTGGTCATTTTAACAGTAATAATCCTCAGTTAACACATGATGGAGACCTAAATGAAACCAGTGAACAGGCCATTTTGAAAGGGAAAGCAACATCAACGGCAGCCCATCTCAGAAGTGGAGGGTTAGTAGTACTTTTCTATTTGTAATCTTTTAGCATTATCACTTTGCCTTTAACCATTGTCTTCTTAATTTTAATCATCTGTTCTATGTTGATTAGTTTATTAATTAGTTGATTGATTAGTCTCTGCATTTTTTCCCTCTTTATGCCAACAAATGCTAAGGTAATGATTCATGGGAGAATGTGGGATTTCTTGCTCTGTTTAGTCCATGGGTAGATGTGCTGGATTTACGTAATTTCATAATTATTCCCAGTAAAACCTTTATTCACACATACTGGAATAACTCATTTAGGAGAATCAGATGAAGTCACTTATTTTAGTTGTAGTCTTGGCTACCTCTGGAGTATTTACTGGTCATCTAGTTTATGGTTTATCCAGGACTCCTGTTGGACTGCCTTTTATCTCCTGCTACCTCCCCTTTGGCCAATTCTCTCTTTGTTGGCAATGCCACAAAAGATTGGGCAGGGGCAGGGAAAAGGGGCTGCCATTTTAATTAGTGAATTTCATTTTGAAATAGAACTTCGGTAAAAACATAATTACTATTATAGAAAGTTTTAAACTCTTGGCTAAAGATTTGGGAAGTTGAGAATTGGCTTGAGATTTGGAAAATTCTTTGAGTTTCAGTTATCTATGCTATCCCTTATTAAAATGAATAATTGAGAGCTCCTTGTATTTTATACCATCTTTCTAGGTAGGGCACCCTTCAGAAGCAACACTCCTATCTACATTAAACATCTGAAGGACAGAAGAGAAGTTAAATTTGGGGACTACATACTGAAACACCCTTTAATTGAAAAAAATAAAAAGGGGTCCTCGTGCTCATCAGTCTCAGCCATTGTCATATTAAGGCAAACAGAATACTGTATTCAGGTTCTGGACTGCATAGTGTTGACTAAAGACACTTTTGCAGGGTTTTCCAATGGGTCATTGATGAACAACTGCTTTATTTGAATTTTCCCTAACAAAATTAAATTTCATTGGCCATTTTAAGACCAAGCATGTGTTGAGTTTTCTTTAAAATTCTTGATCTGATTTTGGCTATGTGAACATACACAGATGGTTTAACTGTTTTGACTCAATTGGTTGTCTCATTATCATTTCATTTGAACTGATTTTGCAGTGTGGTCACACATAGAACTCATAGTAGCACAGGTAGCCTTCTTCATGTTATTTTTCATTTGGAACATTTTTAGATTAAAAGCAAAAGGGATTAGTAAAAGGAGGTACTTCAAATTGGGATTTGGGGAGTTCATGATAAAGCATCAAACTGGTCATGTTGGGCAAATGTCTTCCCATTTGCGAAGTCTTTAGATATCAGAGTTAAAACATAAAAGTAGTAGAAAGACTTATTTTTCTTTCAGTATTATAATTGAAAAAAATTTTATATTGCTGTCCCCATCCTTATAAGAAGTTAGAATTGCCTAGGAAATGCTAACCAGGAATCATTCTGGTTTTTACAATACTTTGTTTCTAAAGAGCCATTTTGGCAAGCCAGTGTTCCTTGTGTTTCCTAAAATCAAAACTACCAAGGACATCTTAGTTCACAAATGTTTTATGTTAAGCCAGAAAGAACAAATCAGAGAATAGAAGAGCTTATTAGCTTCTTCATGATATACAATATTACAAGATGTTAACGATTGTGATAAATATTTTCTGTTTCCTTTATTAGAATTTTTTGCTTTACATATTGATTAGATTTGGAGTATACATTGGCAGATGTTACTTTCAATAAGATATTTTTTGCTTCATCAGTTTCAACCTCTTTATTTTTGGGTTGGAAATTTGTAGAAGAGATGGCAAAAAATTTATTCAGTATAGTGAAAACAAACAATGGAACACATTAGCAGTTCTTAACATTTATGAATTAGAAGCACATAAGAATACTTGATGATAGTATATCTTAAATGCTTAAATGAACAATTTCAAGAAACAAACATTGCTATATAATGTAATATTCCCAGCTTTAAAAATAAAAATTCTACCATTATTTAACACATTTTCACCTTTAGAACATTAATAGGTAATAAAGAGCATTTTGTTGCAGTGTGCAGGCAAGCAGACATAAAGGAGGGAAGAAAATTCTGAATTAGGAAGGGAGCAGGCAGAAAATACAAAATAAGATATTTAGAAGTACAGGTTTAGGATAAGTAGTTAAATAGTCTCAAATAGTTAAAAATAATAGCTGTATTAAAAAATTCCATTTTCAGGGGGAAAAAAGCAATGGCTAGAGCAAAATCTTTTTAATTTGGACTCCAGATATTTAGAGTTATCTGATAATTTAGATATCATATTCCCGATGATTTTTTTTAACCAAACAAATTAAATAGTGTAAATAGGATTTGATGTTTAACCTCCTTAAAGAGAGGAAACATAGTATCATTTTCATGTAAAAATAACATACTAATTTCAAAGAATCTTTATTCAGCTCTGTTCAACAAACATTAAAGGCCCAGTAAATGCTATGGTCCATAGTAGACACTGGAGATAAAGACAAAAATGAAATAGATTCTGTGTTCAGGGAACTTACATTCTGCTAGGCGTGGTACAATATGCCCACAAATAAGTAAATTAAAAATATATACAAAATCATACTAAGTAATCCTAAGAGGGATAGAGCACTAACTCTAAAAATCAAGAAGGATTTTATGTAGGAATTGGCAACTGTGCTTTGAAGTAATTTAGGAATTCGAAGAGGCAAAGATAAGGAAGGAGGTAGTGCATTCCAAACATGGGGGACTACCTGCACAAAGGCATGGAGGTAAGAGATGCAATGGTGTGAGAATGACTTGGGACAAACAATAATTTTGATATGGTTTCATTCTGTGACGACAGTGGTCTTGAATATGTGCTTCTGCTGACACTAGGCTAAATGCAGAACATCTGACCTTGACCAGATGCAGCCAGATTAAGCTGGTTTATCGATCTTTAGTTAGTTCTATGTCAGTTGAAGGCTGGATTCTGTGCCCTATGTATTTCGTTGTCCTCTTGTGTTTTTAATTCTTTGGTTTTTAAGAATGGATGTTACTGCAAAGAAAATGTAAAAGTTGTAGGTCTTAAAAAGAACACTTCAGTGACTTAGAGATATTTTAGGGGCTGTTGGTGTGGGATAGTCAAGTGTCTTAAGGATCATGCGAGATCATAGTGAAATAGAATGAGTCACACTGAAGCTGAGAAAGTGCAGTCAAAAACAAAAAACAAGAACTTCCAAATCACTGTTATAAAACTGCCTTAACTAAACTTCAGAAAACAAGCAAAGACCTTCAGAAGGACCTGGCAGCTGGAGGCATTGTTCTTGATTCCTCTGCGGTGAGATATATGCTTCTGAAAGTTGAAAAGACAGCAAGGAGACAGAAAAGGTTCCAATTACTGTTTGAAGAGAAGATGTCTGTCATTGGAAAGACAATACAAATACTGAGGTCCTTAAGATTATAAAAAAATAATTTTTATTGAAACTTTTTCATTCAAGGCTATGCCAGAACCATTGTCAGAACAGGTGAGCCTGAGTAAGATATGGGCAACTTTATCACATTATAAAACAACCACTGGAGAAAAATATGTGGGGGATTTTTTATTTCCCATGGGCCTTAAAGTCTTGTCCTCATTTAAGGAAGGATGAATGCTGATAAATCTGTTGAGAAAGCAGAATCATTTTAGAATCATGGAAATTCTCAAATAGAAATGGAATTCTGTAAGATGACCTTGCACCACACCACATGTCATGAAAGGTTAAGAAATCAGATAGAGGTAAACATGCTTCTAGGCTGGGAACTCACCTGGTTTAAACTCCATTAAAAACCTCTGGGTTATAATCAAAGCTAGATTCATCAAAACAACACAATACCTAATGTAATAAGTGGTTTTGTGGTGAAGAATTGCTACATGTCAAAGTCTTGTGAACTCAGTGCCAAATTGGGTGAAAGAAGTGCAGGAAAAGGAGGACATTTTGCATATTTAATTTTTTAAAAAGATGTAAAAAGTTGTAAAGTTTATTGAATAAATCAATAAATTTACTTACTTTGTCCCAAGGAATTCACATATCGCTGAGTGTTGTGTATGAAGAACATCTGTAGCTGGTCAATATGACTACAACAGAGGCTACTTGAAAGAGAAATAATTAGGAGATGACCTTAGAAAGACAGGTGGGATCTAGATTGTGGAGGGTTTTAAATATGAAGATGAGGATTTTGTATTTTATCCTAGAGGCAATAGGGAGTCACCAAAGATTTTTGAGGAGAGGAGTGATGTAGATCTGTGTTTTAAGAATATCAGGTTGCAGCTACTTAGAGGACAGTTTGGAGAAAGGAGAGCTTGGAAGCAGGAGAGAACAAATTCAATTATTGCAGTATTTTAGGTGAGAGGCAATGAGGGTCTGAGGCTGTGAGAGAGTGAAGAAAAGCAAACAGGTGTAAGAGTGGAAATGGAATCAGTGACCCTAATACAACTGGTAAGTTTCAGGTGGGGCAGGGAAGAGGCAAAAGAAAAGATTTCCTAGGAACCCAGGTAATGAGAAAAATGGTGGAATAAGGAAATTGGGGGGATGGATGGATGGATTTAGGGGGGAAATGTGAGTAGTGTCTGGACATGTTGAATTTGAAATGAAGGACCTGAAAGGACCCCTAGTTGGTAGAACTTCATCAATCATTAATATTACTGTATGTTCTTGAGAGCCCTAAAACATTTCTTTAAAACATGTTCTGTTTTATACATTTGTAAACTTTATTGTATTTATGTGTGATATAAACACAATAATCTTTAACATATTACATGCATTATACATAAATTTATACAAGTCCACATATATATTTAAAAACCTTGCAAACTTTCTCTTTAAAAGGTTCTTCAAAATGTAATGGTCCAGCATGAATGAAAAAGTTTCGACAATAAAAATTACCTTTTTAATAATCTTAAAGCCTACTGGTAATAAGTTTCTCAATACTTAGGTAGGTTGGTCCTAAGTGTGGTCTATGGATCCCTGGGAGTTCCAGAAACCAGTTTAGGGATC